CTTCCAATATGATAATGATAATGACGTCAAGGGAGGCTTCATTAGATATACGAACTTTGAAGCAGTATTACATTTCCCTTGTTGCATTCAATTGAAATTACTGTTGTTCCGACCATTTTTTACCAAAAAATTCGACTGCCTGGTGTTTATTTCTGGGACTAAATGTCAGTCAGTCGAAAAATCTCAAAGTGCCGTGCTTGTGTTTGAAACTTGTTGAACAGTATTATTTCGGTCTTTATTGCATTTCCCTTGTATTAATTGAAATTAAAGTTGCTCCGATGATTTTTGTAACGAAAAAAATCGTAGTATGCCTGACGTTTATTTCTGGGACTAAACACTTCGTTTCTTTTAATACAAAATTTTGTCGGGAAATTAAAAGCACCACAGGGTCTCACAGGGACTTTTTAAAAAGTCGTTGAATACAATTGCTCTAATATATATTAGTAGACATTATCACTGTACTTTTTACCTTCCATTTAAGTCAATATTCGCGCAGCTATTGTCTCATTATGAACTTTTAAAGGCCCAGTGTGCGGCCATTTTCAGTTTTCCGAAAGTCTATAAATTGTACTGTGTGTTTCAAATCTTTGACCATCTCACTTTTCTAAGCACTTTAAACGCTAATATAAGAGTTTTCAACCATCTGAAATTCATTTTATGGTTACTGGAAGTATTTTGGTGAAATTCATAACAATATAACAAAGGCGCGCAAAGCATAATGATGTGTTGTGTATGATTATATAATGTGTTATATAATATCTGGAATTTACGCGTCGGGTCCCATGAGACATAAAATAGACTATTTAATGGCGCATACGAGACAAATAAAACACAGACCAACTAAAACGCTTCCACTGTGTATTTACTCTTCGTAACATTTGGTAGCAGAGCAAGGTTCTCGATTTTCAAGTCTACAGTGATTATTCTTCTCAAGTTTATTTATCAAGGTCTMTAGCCTACGAGTTTATTCCCGGTACTGGTGGATTCGGCTCAATTTATATTTTGTTGTTCTACAAGAGCACTGATGGAATTTTTCGTTTAASGGGCAAGTTGCTACGTTGGAGTTGGCTACAGAGAAATATTGTTATTTGTGTTCAACGGRGTTGTTTTTCTACGTCTGGCATTGTCAAACTAATTGTATAGCCTGTCAACTCAGAGGAATTTGTGTGTAAATCTGCTTCGTATGGTCGTTGTTTAAAAGTTACGGATATCAACCTGTTGTAAAGGAACTTGGAAATTGTTGTACATGCTAAATTGTGAAACTGGCTGTAGTGAACGACATTATCGTTATGTAGTGTGCCGCTGGAATTATCTGTTGTGCTYAATGAGCTGTGTCTGCATTGAATTTGATTGTGCTTYAACTTGCATATTTTRCTGGGCTGGTTTGTTATTGAAATTYATYTKTACTGGAATTTATTTTGTTTTGAACTGAACGTTTTGCTCAACTTCTGTGGTCACCGGAACTATTTAAAAGTAATTATTATACTGATACTTATTGGAATTATTAATCTTTAATCRAGTTTACGGGCCTACAGGAATTAYTACRACTGGAATTTTGTAAATTCTCCATCATTTATTTTGCTKTTAATTGACAGTGGTCGATAAAATGGAAACGMGTTCGAAGAGTGAAAGGAACAAGGCCATGAAGGAACAATCTGATTTAMTTGATATGGGACTGGATTCACATGATAATGAGGGCTGCCTTGATTTTGAACAAACTATTACTTCAACATTAGAGGAGGTGCAAGCATTTATTCACAATGCAAAGGAAGAAACAAAGGAGTTGAAAGGACAATTTGATAACTTGTTTTCTGTGATCGAAAGTCAAAAGCAACTGGTCAGCCGAATGAATACCATGCATGCTGAGAAAATTAGAGAACTGGAGTCACGTTTGTCAAAGGTTGAACAATTTATGTATAATCATGGTAAAGACTACGAGAGTCAGACGCAATTGCTCAATCATATTGACATTAAATTAAATCAAGTGAATGACGCACTCGATAGGGTGAATGGTATGGAAGAAAAGCTCAAGTTGAAAGCTTCAGAGCCGGAAAGGAAACCATCTAGAAGTAGTTTAAAGCCTGTGCAAATGCCACCCTTATATGATGGTTCAACACCATGGGAAGCTTTTAAAGTCCAATTTGAGATCATTGCAGAAATAAATGGCTGGAATACTGATGAAAAGGCAGCGTTTTTGGCGGCAAGTTTAAAGGGAAATGCCACCATGGTGTTAAGCAATCTTCAAGAAGTGAATAGAAGAAATTATGATTCACTGGCCAAAGCTTTATCAAATCGTTTCGGTGCGTCACACCAATCGGAGTTGGCTCGTGCCAAGTTTAAAACACGTGTAAAGAGGAGAGATGAATCGTACCCAGAGCTGGTGTCGGATTTAGAGAGGCTGGTCAAACTGGCATATCCTGGTGCGGAAGCTGAACTGCAGGACACGTTGGCCAAGGATCAGTTTATTGATGCGATCCCGGATGAGGAAACAAGAATTAAAGTACGTCAGGGTCGACCGAAAAACATTCAAGGGGCTCT